GGACTCGATCCCAGGACCCTGAGATCATGACCTGAGCCGAAGGCAGCAGCTTAACCCACTGAGCCACCCAGGCGCCCCGTGTACTTTATTTTTTACAGTGTGAACACCCTTGAGGTCTTTCTGTCAAAAGCTATGTATTTTTTAAGTGGGTTTTCACTTTAATATAGGTATTAGAAAAAGGAAAGTGAAAAATACATAATTCAGGATATACCTGTTCATTAATTCACTGAATGCCAGGTACGTGCCAGGCAGTGTTCTGAGCAGTAGGGACGCACTGGTGAGGAACCCCAAATCCCCTACCTTTCATGGATCTTTGCTCATGAGAGAAATAATCAACATGTATATTAAGTGATGTTAGTGCTGAGGAAGAATACTAAATGTTTAAAGAGAACAAATTTGAGATAAAAGATGAAGAACTCAGCAGGTGACATTAGAACACAGACTTGAAGGAGCTGTGCAGATGCTTGAGAAAGCGCCCTCCCTGCAGAAGGAATGGCAGATGGGAAGGCCTGATGAGGAGTGAACAAAGGGTTGAGATTCCTGATTGGGGGGACAAGGGAGAGAGGGGAAGTCTGGATTGGGTAGGGCTTGCAGGGAGTACAGATGAGACGATAGTTTCCAAGCCAGAGCTTGTTCTAGCTGAAAATCCTGTTGTCCTCACTCAAAATTCTGTCAGTTGTCATTCTTTTTGAAAATTTTATTTTTACCAAATGTTCATACAGTCAAGTAAAATTTACTTTATAAATCTAATAGGGATTTTTGTGGAGTTTTACTCTGAATATCTGGAAGTACTGATGCGAATGAATTTCCGTTTTGCCATATGACTTAATGGGTATATGGGAATCCTTCAGTCTCCAAACTCACCTGCCCTTTCCTTCTCACATGTTAAATTACAGTAATATCACATTTCAGTGTAATCTTTGTTTAGCAAAGCTATTTCTTGTCTGGAATATAAGTATAGTTTATAGCAGAGTAGATATGGAGTCAAAATTGAATTAAATAAAATGCCTCGTTGTGAACAGGGACTTAAGAATAAGTGTTTTATGTTTTAGTAGAAGTGTAAAAATCAGATCAGCAGGGCATGTTTTTATGGCCCATTTGCCAAGACTAGAAATAGCTTTGGTACTTATTACTCCCTTAAACATGTATTTGCATTTCATCCCCTGTCAATACAAGGAGACAAAGCAAAGAAAAATTAAATCAGAATTTTAGGGCTGGAATGAATCTTAAATACTGTCTAGCCCAAACCTTTGGTTTTACAGGAGCATTTTTTTCCAGAGTGCACTCATAATACTGTTTGTTTTTTTAATAACAATTCATTAACACAGCACACACACATAGTTGGTGATAGAATCCGAATCTAACGCACCTAAAAATTTTTTTCCCCTAACATGTACTTACTTTCTGGCAGTTGCCCCAAGTTATCAGGCAACTCAAAATTATAGCAGTAGTCAGATATTCTGTATAATACATAGCATAGTAGTTCTCAGTGGTGAATAACCCTCACCTGTGAAGCTTGTTTTTTAATATATAGCCTTTCTTGGGTTCCCTCCTGAGATTTTGAATCTGTAGGTTGGAATAGGGCTGGGAAAAATCCATGTTTTTAATAACCCGGTAATTTTGAAGTGTGAAGGGCACTGCCCTTAAACACCAATTTCAAGGGGGTAGAGGAGACACCAAAGAAGTGATGTTAGCACTTAATGTTCTCTAATGCCTTATTTCCTATAAATTTCAGCTGCTTGGGTGCTTGTTCCTTTGTAGAATTTGTTTCCCTCTTACATGGATGTAAAGGCAAAGGAGAGACGCTGAATGATTATTTTTGTTCCTCTGTCATTAGAACTGTAGGGTCATTATGATAAACTGAATTTATGTAACTGTGTGGTATTACACATGATGAAAGGAAATCTGTTTCGAAGTGAAATAAACTGAGAATATTTGGACAAGATGCTAACTTGTCACTGCTGAGATATTAGTAAAGTTGAGCAGAGAGTATTAGAAAACTCAGTATTCATTGAGAGCAATGGCATAGTACTGGTGTATAATGAGATACTTTCTACTTTAGCAACTGGAATGTTCTCAGATGCTGCCTAATTATGCAAAGGTGCTAAGTGAATATTAAAAGTTATGGGGCTGGTTGAGTAGGTTGAGTATCATGTGTGTTAGGTTGAGTATCTTATATCCTGTGGAGATCTCTTTTACTGTGTAGTTGTTTAGCTAACTCAGTAACTAACAGGCAGGAATATGGTTTTAATTGAAAAGAAACAACTGGTATTTAAAAGCATTATGTTCTGAAAGGAAAGTTTATGCTTGACTAGTTTATTCCAGGTCTTTAGCTATGTCAGTATAAAGTGAATTCATTATATAAAAATGGATAATAGTCTAGGTTAATGGAATATAACAGTTGAAAAGAGAACTTTTTCCAGTGAAATAATCCACACCTTGGAAGTCTGAAGGACAGGAAACCACCAAAATCATGTTTGGAGTTTTTTGTGGTTTTTTTTTTTTTTTTTAAGTAATTGCAAGTGAATTTACAAATACAATCTTAGTTTTAAAAAAGTAGGTAGAGGTTATTTCAGTCTATCTCATTGTTACTCAAATTTTTGTAGCCATCTGAGAAAAAAGAGGTTGAATTTTCTGGGTCTCTAATTGTAGGAATTTGATGCAAAGAGAATTTTTGTAAAGGAGCAGGCACAGAGAGAACAAGACTATGACAAGAACATCTGTAAAGTTACTACTAAGCTCATATAAGGAACTTTGTGGGGAATACCTCTTAAAACAAATAGTTTTTAATAATTTGGTGTTTTAATCTAAGGACTTAATTATAGCTTAGTGGATATACTATTTCCGGTCCCATTACTGATTTTTATCACTTTGATGATAACATATACCCTAATAATGACTGACTCGTATATATTTGACTTTAAAAACTATTAAGATAAGGAAAAGAGTCAGGAAGCCTAAAATTGGCTGTTTGCTAGGTTTAGCTCATCCATGCAATAAATGTATCGTATTAGATGTACTTACCTCTACGGGGTAAGTACCTAAAAACTATATGGAAATTGATTACTTTTGAATGTAAACAGTTTTAAATAAAATCTGTAGTAATTCCTTTTATTGTTAAAAGTCAGGCAACACTAACTTAAACTGTTTGTAAATTTGATTCTGAATACTATATTGGGCTTTTTCAAAATGTAATTTGTATATGCATATAGGATACGAGCATGCATATATGTACAGAAGCCCTTCAGAAAGAGTTCACCTTCCTTTTATAAACACTAAAATTCAACTGTGCCTGTAAAATGTTTTTGCTAACATTTGCATCATTGACTCAAATTTACACCTTCCTGTTTGAGGTACGCTACCAATACTATCTATGCATGTAGACTTTTGTCCGCTCCCTCTTCCCCCGCTCAGTAAGGCAGTTAACTCTAAAAAATATTGTGACCCTTTCTATAAAATGTTCACAAAACATCAGCGTATTCAGCTTATACAGCTTATGTTATATAAATTAATTATACAGAAATTTATCCCCTACACACAAGGAATTTCTATTTTGTAAGAATGTAGCTTGTATATCAGAGTGCAATAAAATCTGGTGTAAGAAACAACTGTTGAGTGGGTTAAGTGATTATTCTGAATGTATTTACTTTTCTCTTGTCATTTATTTGAGGTGGTGGTGGAAGGAGGTTTTGACATCATAAGGATGAAGTTTTGACAAGTTTTTAAAATTGCAGTGGACATATGTTGGCATATTTTGGTGAGATATGTTAATGTAACATAGAAAGAAACTACTGGAACCCAGCATGACCATTCTTCATTTTCTTTGTGCATATGTAGCAGCAGCTATCACATCTAAGGCTATATATAGTAGTCCTTCCAGTCTGAGTCAAATGAGGACTTTGAAAATTAACCTGTGATGTCCATAGGTTTGGTTTACAACATTGCTGAAAATTAAATGAGTACCCGTAAAATAATAAAATATCACGTATCATTTATATAATATATACATACACAGTGTACACACAGAGTTAAGATTCAGCACAGCAGGGGCACCTGGGTGGCCCAGGTCATGATCTCAGGGTGGTGGGATTGAGCCCCACGTTGGGCTCTCTGCTCAGCAGGGAGCCTGCTTCCCCCTCTCTCTCTGCCTAATTGTGATCTCTCTCTCTCTGTCAAATAAAATCTTAAAAAAAAAAAGATTCAGCACAGCAAGCTGGGCTACATTTGCAACTTTTAGATTGGCCTGGTTAAAGGTAATCTGGGGATTAGTACCAGTTTGTGAAAAGTTTATATTCTGTTGTGTCTTCTTTTACTAAATGTTCTTCCTTTGTACACTTCATTCTCCTCCTTCAAAGTAAGCCTTTCATTTTGAGTCTGTCATTTCTATCCTTAATCAACCTTGAATCTCCCCTCTGTCCTTAAAACATCTATATTTTTTTTCTATTAAGTTGACTTCCTTGGGTATTTTGTGATTTTTCATAACACAACATAACTCTTATTATTAATTATGAAGTAGACTATTCACTTCCCATATTTCTTCTGTTTAATTATGGTACTCTGAAAAGAAGGGAGTACCTTTCCAAGAGACAGCCTTCCTTCGCAAGACATGCTTTGCTCCTTACTAAGTCTGGCACCGGCTCCATTCTCAAGCAAAGCTACCAAGGTTGGTCCAGCTAAAAATGGAGACCTCATCAGCTCCCTCTGTGCCAGCAGCCTTACTTCTGTCTACATTTCCACCTTAATATGTTCTTCCTCAACCAGAATGCTTGTTTGCCTGATTATATCGTGCATCTTCATACCTCTGACTTTACCGAACTCCTTCCTCTGCCTAGAATGCCCTTCCTCTGTCACCTTTACCCAGCTAACTCCTACTCATCCTTGAAGACCTAGCAAAGGCATTCTCTTCCTCCAAGAAGCCCAGTGCTCCCATCCTTGCCAAGGCTTTTTTGTGACTGTGAGTCCTGATTATCTCTGTCTCTCCTGAGACCACAAGCTCTTGTGGGCTGGGATCACTGAGTCTTTGTGGTGGGTTTTTTTTTTTTTCCCCCTTTTTGTTTAGTTCTAGAATCAAGTACCTGTTGCTGGACAGTGAGGTTGGAGATGATAGGCAGAACCATTGACACAAATTTGCTTAGTTAATAGAGTAACAACCGTTTTTAAAGACTAAACATGTAAAATTCCTGTCTATGCCAAAAGTCGCTGCTACCTGAGAATAGTGTGACCATTGGACTTTTCATTCTGCATGTGTCTTTCCTTCATATCTCTTTCATGTAGACACCTAACTTAACTGTATATTCCATTAAATGAATGATGATCTGATAACCAGGTTTAAGAAACTGTTAAGATTTTACCAACTTAAATTGGCAAACCAGACCTACAGTAATGCGGTTTATTTAGAGTATGGCACTGGTGTGAGTCATGGTATCAAGACCTTTCTGTCCTCTCTCTAAATCATTGTATTTAGAAAACTTTTATTTTCTTTAAGAAAGTTCTTTGTCTCTCAAACTGAGATTCAAAACTAAAATGTCAAAAATACGAAATACGAAATTAGATTTACCTGATCTAATACTTCAGTTTCTAAAGACAGTCCTTGTTCCTAAGAGCCTTTCTGTCGTTATAAATAAATAAGCCATTCCTCTCGGCCAGATCTGCCAGGTAGCACTGTCAGTCCTATCACTGTGAGAGTACATCACCAGCCTGATTTGTACTATAAAGGTAGATACCACTCTGCGTCTTTATGTCCATTGACCACTGAACAGATTGAAAAGGGTGTGAAGACCTGCTTTTCAGGATGTTAGTGAAAGTCCTTCCGTACAAGTCAGATTTATCTTCATTTTCCCTCTCTATCCTAATGCTCTTTTCCATGGGGTGACTCCTGACATAGGGCAGCCCCCTGTTAATCACATGCCTGCACAAACTAAAAATTACAGATTTCCTGTGAGCTCCACCTTGAAGTCGATACTGCTTGCTTTCAGGTAGATTCCATTGTATGTCCGGTTTTACTCTTTTGTTTGTATTTTTATGTGGGAACTTTGGAGCACATTTGCAAGACTGGGAAAAACAATAAAGGTTACTAACAATGGAGGAATTCTGTATAAATAGCAACCAAAAACAATTACTTCAATGACTTGATTAAAAAGAAAAGTGTACAACTGAGATCTTTGACGTTGTAAGTGATTTTTCATGTTTATTTCAAAGTAGCTTGGGAAGTTAGTCTTATTAAGTAGGCCTATTCGCAAAGCAAAGCAGATAAAAAATAGCAAGTAATAAAAAAATTGTTATGACATTTTAAACTACCCTTTCAGTACATTTGCACATTCTGGATAAAGTTCTGTAAAACAATTGAGAGCTTCTGGGAAAGGTATCTTGAGTAACATTGCTCAAATTGAGTATCAAATACTTTGTGGTCCCTTCAGCATCAAGATGCCTCATACTCTGGTTGTCTCTTGAGTTTTTATGATACAAGCCCCAGGTACACGAAGTGATTTCACACCATGCCCAAGATGCGGGCCACCCACCAGCTACATGGCATGACAACTCTGCAGGCTGAACGGCAACCTTGATAATTATAAGGCCATGGGTAGTAGCCCCCCAGGGGCTCACAGATCTTCTGGCAATGAGTGTAGCTCCGTCTACATTCTATACAGCAGATTCCTTCATGATCCAGTCTAGGGTCAAATGTCATGCCTTCCCCCTCCTGCTGCTGTGAAATAAAAGGCAATTATTTTATTTCCTTCATAATAAAAATTTTGTAGCATGCACATTATTCTAAAATAAGATCCTGAATGTTTCATTGGTATAAGAAATCAGCATAATATTCTGTAAGAGGTTTTCAATCTTATTAGACCCTTATAATTCAAAATTCCTTCTAAAATATCAAGGAACCTCCATCTGTCACTGGAAGGAAGGTTGTTTTTTGTTTTTAATATTACAAAGTTTCTCCATGCCTTTAATGAGCTATGATTCCCACTCAGTAGTGACTCAGCTTGTTTTAAGTTAGCCAAACAAAAAGGAGACATTGAAAAGTAGCATTTCTGTAACTACTGACTTTAAGTTAGTGGAACACTGATGCCATTTTGTACTGATGGCTTCCAGGTCTCGGAGCACCTTTTGAAATTCATTGATCTAGGCTAATAGATTGCTGTGACAATTGCACTGGCTGAGAATGCTGGCATCATTTAGATTTCTGCCTTCATTTCAACCTTAAGGGTTCTTTAACACTCAGGAAAAGGCACCATATAATGTCTAAAAATTCAAGATCTTAAACTTTATTTTCTAGTTTCTATGTGCCATTATTATTACCTAAATAAAATTATGGATGCAGTAAAAATCACCTAGACAATCCCCATTTTCACTGCTGGAGATATCACAACTGGAAGGAAGCTGACCTCTGCCAAATCTGTGTATCTGGTTTTCCTTTTCATAGGTTCCTAGGGGTTTAGATTCTGAATTCTCTGTTACTGAGTTACATTGCCAAGAAGCCCTTAATGTGTATTCTTAATTCTCTTGAAATCTCTTCTTGAGGGACTCGAACCTGGGGAGATGCAGCACCAAATATAGATTAGGCTTGAGCAAAGTGAACCTTGGAATGCTATCACCTTTTCTGGTATACCAACAAGTCTTAACCTTTTGGTGGTTTGTGGGGGGGGGTGCTTTTTATTTTTGGGAATATCAAACATACTGGAAAGGGGAAAAAACTGAACTGAACATCTAGTTTTGACAGTTCCACTAACCTTTTGTCAAATTTGCTTGATCTTTTCTGAAGTATTTTAAATTTTGAAGTGACTTTAAAGAGAATTGAAGGTATTGTGACATTTCACACATACATACATTAGGGTGTGCCTCTAAAACAATATTTGCCTACATAACTACGATGCCATTATCATACCTAACAAAATTGACAATTCCTTAACACCATCTGATAGAACTTATGTTCAAATTTAATCATCAAAATATTTCCCTTACTCTTAAACCATTTTTTCTTTATTCTTCAGACTCTTTCCATTTTCTCCCTCCTTATCTCTCGAACTAGGTTCATCTGAGACAGCAAAAAGAAAACCACCTCATTAATTGATTATAGCTGATTTTTCCAGGGTGGGGGGAAGTCAAAAGCCTGTTGGTTGAGGCATTTCCTCATCTGAGGGTTCAACAAAGGTTTGTTAGGATTTGAGAGCTGGGAGGAAATCTCAGGTTGTTGCCCCAGGATACCTCCTGAAAGGAACATGTGAAGGATTGAGCTCCTAGGGAGATGTTTCTTCTTAAAGCTGAGCATGAAATAAAGGAAAAACTGATAAAGAATTGGGAGTCTTTCAAGGAAAATGGATCACTCAAGTCTGGAAGCAAGACAGGCAAAGTCACATCCTGCCCCTGTGAAGGGGCTGATGCCCTCTCCCTTGAGCCAGATTTACCTAGCTCAGCTACCTGGAGATTAAACTATATTAAATTTTCTGTTTGCCTATTCAGATGTATTTCTCTCTTTTTACTATTTGAGCTTTAGGGACTGAAGTACTGTGGTGGTCCTGAATTTTCCAATAAGCTTGGGTCATTTAAAAAATACTAAAATATGTTAGTCTAAAACTAGAAAATAAATTTGCAACATGTGAAACACTATAAAACTGAAGAGGCTACACAGGAAAAAAAATAGATGAATTGGCCTAAGAAAAGATGCTCAACCTTACACATAATTAAAGACTGTCAAGATGAAACAATGAGAAGATAAAATTTTACATCCGAGAGACTGGTAAAGATTTTTTTTTTTTTTTTGAAGTTTGATAATAAATGAGCCCCATTCATTACAATTGAAGACATGAAGCTGGTGTAATTCCTTGGGAGACAATTTGGCGTCCTCCATTAAATAATGTAAAATTACCATCTCCTTTGACCTAGTAGACCCATATATCTGTATTTATGCTAAAAAAAAAGAATTCCCACACATGTACAAGAGATATATATATAAGAAGACTAATAGTTAAACTGAGCAAGGTGATGCCTACTGTGTGCCAGGCACTATCTAAGAGCTTTGCCTGCATTACCTCATTTACTCCTTCCCGTGACCGGGTGGGGCATATACAATGTTGTGTACTATTAACGGTATTTTCTAAGAGCAAAAGATAGGGTGATAATTTACATGTCCACCAAAGTAAGACTAGTTAAATTTCTGTACATCTATCCACACAATGGAATATGATGATGTAGCCATTAAAATGAATGAGGTATATGTATGTAGGAGACAGAGCAATCTCCAAAATACTGTGACTGGAAAGAAAGCAAGGTATAAAAATTTGTATGCTCTATGGTGTTAAAAATGTGTTAGTGCGGTACACTCTTGTGCAAAGAAAACTGGGCTGTGGGAAAGGTGTCTGAGATGGAAGGGTAACACATTTTTTACCCTTTTATAAACTTTTTAAAAACATGCATGTATTATTTTTTTCATTTAAAATACTAGTTACAAAAATTTACTATTCTTTTGCTCCCTTCACTTACGGTAAATAAATTTTTTTGAAGATTTGAGAAGTCTTTAGCATGTTAGTGCCATCCTTATAAATAGCAGTGCCCAGCGTTTCAGTCTGAAGTGTTTTATCTGTGTGTATGAGTCTGTCCCCCACCTGGACTGAGAGCCCCCGAGGGCAGAAGCTAACTCCTCTCTGCATGCACAGGGCCTGGGAAAGAGCAGGTTCTCAGCAAATGTCTGCTGAATGGATGAATAAAGTGGATATAAGGCGGGGGGGAGAGAATACTTTATTCCATGTACTGTCCCCAGGGCACATTCTTGGAAATATTTTTTGAATAATCAAATTCCTGATAGGAATATGTCTTCACGGATTTGCCTATGACTCAGTAAAGGGGAGAGCACAGAAAAAACTTTGAATAAGGGTTACAACAAAACTGGATTTCGCACTAGAGAGACCATGCTTAAGTGTCTTACCCTCATTTTATAAACTTTGTGACAAATTCACATGTATTTTTTTAAATAATTGAATAAAAATCCAAGATGATTATTAAGTGCTCATTTGAAACCTCAAGTAGAAATAACCACCACTTCAATGTTCTGTTCAAGGGATATGTCTGAGCGATCATGAAAACAGCAGTACGTACATGGTAAGGGTTGTCTGGGTTAAAGGGATCTGAATCCTCTTGAACACTAGGTCTGGTTCCGTTACTTGGTCCTTCAGGGCCTGGGTTGCCCTGTGGTCCGCTGTGTGGTTTTCTTGTAGTAGTTGTAACAATTTTTCTTACCAATTCTCTTCTTTCTCTCTGGATTTCTTAAAAAAAAAAAAAAAGGTTTTTTGCTGTAAGTTAATTCATTTATTTGGATAACTGAGGAAGTATTATGTTTATCAAGGTAAAAGCATAAAGGGGTATGAAAACACATTCTTGGGGCGCCTGGGTGGCTCGGTGGGTTGAGCCACTGCCTTCGGCTCAGGTCATGATCCTAGAGTCCTGGGATCGAGTCCCGCATCCGGCTCTCTGCTCAGCGGGGAGCCTGCTTCCCTCTCTCTCTCTCTCTGCCTGCCTCTGTCTACTGTGATCTCTCTCTGTCAAATAAATAAATCTTTAAAAAAAAAATTAAAAAAAAAAAAAGAAAAAAAAGAAAACACATTCTTGTCTCATTATTGAAATTTGTTTTGAGGAATTTTTAATAGTTTCAGAGTCTTAGGTTAATACTTAAAGATACAGATAACCAAGATTTGGTTTTATAGTCCTAACTGAGGGAGATACTGTGAGCTGACAAAAATCCATTCTCAATTCTCTGTTTCCTTATGTGCTTCTACTATAGGGACTGAGGAAGTAAAATACCACTTGTTTCCGCAGCCTCCCTTCCAATTAAGAGAGACCAGTTGGAACATTTCTGGCCAGTGAGATGTAAGCAGAATATGTTGGTGCAGTTTCTGAGAAAGCTTTTGATTTCTTTATAAAAGAGGACTGAAACAGCTTTCTCTGTCTTGTCTTCTTGAACATAGATATATCTGGGTTATGAGAGCCAATCTGTGACCAGAAGGGATAGGCGCAAGGATGATAAACCAGTATGCTGTGGGTAGCAAACGGTAAGCTAGGAAAGAGCCTTGGTGATATCCCTGAGTAGCTGCTAATGTCAGAAACCGACCTCCAGACTTCTGACTAAACCCTGTATTTATTGAAACCACCAATGATCAGGTATTCTGTTACTTGCAGTCCTGAGCATTCTCTTTCGTTGTTTTTTAGTAGGCTCCACACCCAACATGGGGCTTGAACTCAACCCTGAGATCAAGAGTCACATGTTTTACCAGCTGAGCCAATGAGGCACCCCAGACCTGTACATTCTTAGTAGATTGACCGTATGTGTATGAAGCTTTATAGTTTTCAGGAGATTTGTTATCTTGGCTGATTTTTTTTTTTTAAATCCTGTAGGAGGATAGAAAAAGCAGATACTTTTATACATGGGGGCATCAAGGCTCAGAAAGACCAAGACACTTGGCCAAGATCACAGAATGGGTGACAGAAACAGGAGCCAAACGTGTACTTCTCTGGCTCCCAGCCCAGTGCTCTAGTTCCTCACACCACTACAGGGGGCCTGTGGCATTACCCATGGCTGCCGAATAACTTGTGGGAAGTCGCACGCAGCTTTGGCCTTGGTGTCTGAGTCTTTCTTCATCTGTAGAATGGAGGTAATGTATCCAGTTCACAGAGTAGTGATAGAGAGTAGAGCTGTGTCTAAGGGTTTTAGCATAGCATTTGGCATAAAATTACTCAAATGTTAGGTGATGATAACTACATAATGCTGTGTTATTTCTGAGAACTTAGATGGGCTTTACGGCCACGTGAGCTTCCACAGATAGCTTCTAGGTTTCTGAGTTCATGGTTGGAGAAGCATCACGGAACCCTGGATTCAAATCTCAGCGCTACTTTTAACTAACTGAATGACTTCAGGCAGGTTACTAAATCTCCATGAACCTTGGTTTCTTCATCTATAAAATGGGGATATTTGTAATTACCTGGACATTTGTAGATAAAGAATGACTGAGGATAAAGCCTTGAGCTGTAGCACAGTGGCTGGCAGCTGGCCCCCAGCCAGAGCTCAGCGGCCGCCAGTGCTCAGCCTTCCCCCTGACCATGTACTGTCTCTGAAAACATAGCCGTGTGACGCTGATGACCTGCCTGCTTAAGGATCCAAGGCAGGGGTTGCTGGACCTTGGAGTTGGGGAGCTTTTATTAGAATTAGGTGTTAGGGACCAGGCATCCTCAGAGTGGGTTTCATTTCCTTGATTTTATTGTTAAATGTGACTGCATTTATGAAAGACTGGGAAAAAAATAACCTCCATCTTTAATGTGTGTAATATTCCGCCCTCTAGCGATCCCCAACAGTTATTTACCCCTTTCCATTTAGGTGGTTTCCACTTTTCTGGTGTTGGACCTAACATGTAGTTCTGGGGTGGGTGTTGTGAGGACTGAATGCTTTGGGCGGTGGGGGGCCAAGCTACATCTCGGAAGTACAGAGCTTGCTTTGCCGAAGGGTGAAGGTTCTCATCCCATCAGTGACACTAACTCTGTAGTCAGATCCCCACCCGCCAATACCCTGCTCTGTTATTTTTCCATAGCACTGCATAGGCTGCCATATGATTTTCTTATTCTAGTTTAGTGTTTGTTTACTGTCTCCCCTTGCTACAGCATGAACTCCCTGAGGGCAGGGATTCTTGTCTGTTCTGCACCAACGCATCCCAACTACCTCGAGCTAGTAAATGGCACAGAGTAAGCCTTCAGAAAAGTGTGTGTGGAGTAAATGAATGAGCTCCTGGGTAAGAGGCTTGTCCTCAAACAGAAAGTGATTAGAGTTCTACATAGTAGTAGAGTCAGAGGCTTTTGTCCTTGACTGGACAAGGGACAGGTATTGGGGTAGTTCCTGGGAGGTGGAAAGCAAGAAGGCGTGTTGCATGTGGGGCAGGTGAGGAATCAAAAGCCAGCCCTTGGCAAGAGACCACAGTATTGTGAGTTGCAAGCGCCCACTGGAGCAAGAGCAGGGACAGCAAAAGTGACTCGGTTTGGCAGCCCTCTCCAGTCCCTCCAGTGCTGACAGCCACTGCTCATGCCACTCCTGACTGAGCCTGCATGTGGCCTCAGGATCCTTCTCCACTCACTCTTCCAGGAAGCCACGGCTAGTGGCTTATAAATTGGATCCTGTTGGCTTTGCCTGGACCAGAAAGTAACCATCTTATCCAAGCTTTGGGACATAATGAGACTTGTGACCTGTAGGAATAAATTAGGGGTGACAGAATCAGAAGCCTGGACTCTCTAAGCCTAGTGAGGGTTTTTTGTTTGTATGTTTTTTGCTTTTTGTTTTTTTTAATTGGGGTAAAATATAAAATTTACTATTTTAACCATTTTTAATTGTACAGTTGAGGGGTGCTATGTGCATTCACATTGCTGTGCAACCGTCTATCTCCATAAGTTCTTTCGCCTTGTGAAACTGTAACTGTTCCCTTTCAATAATCACTGCCCCTTGTCCCTTCTAAGCTTGATGGTTTTAGTGCCTGTATTTTATTATCATGCTGCTCTCTTCTGTATCCCATAAAATATTTCAGAAGACAGAGTATATTTCAGCTGTGCCGGGAGAAAGGCCTTTCTTCTACTCTTGAGCCACAGCTCCAAAGTAGGCCTTTGGGGTGGGGTTGGGGGCAGTGGGGCGACTGGTGGTGAAGAGTGAAAGGACCCCTGGGTACAGAGAAATTCACGACAGAGTTGGCCCTTAGGGCTCTCACCTGGCCTTCACCACCCACAGAGAGCTCGAAGGTGTGTTCCAAGCTAGCTCTGAACCCCAGGGGCCCTTCATTACTTTTCAAGGGACTTGGAAGCCGATGCTCGAGCCTTGAACTTGAAGAATCTCAGACTATACCCACAGCAGCTTTTGGCTGTCCCATAATTCTAGGTTTGAACATAATAAAGATTCAGCAGTATGACAGCTTCTTAGTCCCTTGATTCTCTGCCATAGGAATAAAAAAATGTAAAATTGGAAAGCGCAAACAACTTAGATTAAGGGGCAGAGCAGAAAAAGGAGGGAAGTATCATAAATAAAAATGGCAGATAATGCAGTGGTATTCTGTCTCCGTGATCCACTTCCTGTTAACCCTGCTGCTCAGTCCCTTCCCTAAAACATTCATGGCTGTCACCTTCCTTCTCTTTGATCTTTCTTGCCAATTACTGAGACACCGTGGCACGCATCCTGATGTATCTTCCTTGTTACAGGCTCAGGCCTGTGGAAGGCTCACAGGAAACTCACCCAAACAGGGAAATTGCCAGCAGCATTAAGAGAATTTAAAATGTTACCTTTTGGATATGTTGGCTTAAGCCAGAAAATAGGAAGGTCGCCACAGAGTTCTAAGACCTTAGAACTCAAGAAGCTGTTGTCCTTCACAGGCTGGTCTACAGCCACCCAGATAAGAGAATTTTCTTCATATTTAACTGGCATGATCTTGCCTTCCTGCAAGTAGGTAAAAATGAAATGCATTGAGCAAAGAGGACAATGAAGCATGCTGTGTATTTAGAGTCACGTGCTGGTAGATTATTTCATCTAATAAAAACTTAATGAGAACTGCATGTGTGTGTGGGATGGCGGGGAATTGTGTATGTATGGGGTATGTAGGGTGTGGGGGTGTACTTGTAGGGGGTATGTGTGGGGTTGGGGGTGTGTGTGTGTGTGTGGTGGGGAGGGTGTGGGGGTGTGTGTGTGTGGTGTGTGGAGATTTGGGGTATGTGGTGTGGGGGGTGGGTGTGTGGGGTGGGTGGGGGGGAGGGGGGGGGGGTGGGGTTGTGAGGTATATATATGTGGTATGTATGTGGTGTGTAGGGGGGGTGCGGTGTGGTGTTGTGTGTATCTTGTCTTTGTAACTCTCTGCACAATATTGTCTTTGCCCTGCTTGTCCCCCCGCCTTTGGATAACTGAAATGTGTGAATACTGAGTGTCCTGAGTGGAAGTGAAAATTACTTGATACCAACTTTGAGACTTAGGTTAATCTGATGTTTTTGATCAAAGATTTTTTGAGGAAAAGCAATTGAATGGACTCTGAAATCCTATAAAGGATAGAGGAGCCCTTCATTTGAAGTGAAAATCCTTTGGGGTTTTGTTCTGCAGCTTCTGAACAACAATGGAAAAAAGCAAGTGATTGGTTCTTTAATGTCTTCAGTTCAAAGTATTATTTAACATAAACCATTTCTACATTTCCCAGCTATAACAAAACACATTTCAGGTGTCCCTCACATCAACCACACCACTGAGATTTCAAAGCTAAACCCTGGATTTTCTTCTACTGCGAGATGCTGAGAACCGTCTGATAACCCAGAAGACAAATTTATTTTGCCAGGTTGTTCCTTTCATGTATTTATTAGTTTGCAATAGGTTGGAGAAATTAAAATGTTTTCTCCCTGTTTTTAGCTAAAAGCAGCACTTCATTTATACTTTCTCCCCCAGGCTTATGGCTGCATTAAAACAACTTAAAGTTATTGGAGGAGGCTAACACTCAGGTAATCTACTTATTCACCTTAAATTAAATGGCTCCATCCAGGAAATGAATGCTCTTTGAGTATAGCAGCATTTTAAAGTTATACAAAACTGATGAAAAATTTATAAGACCAAGTGGTGCATAAATCTACCCCATCATAAGCTAAAGCGTGCGGGGAAAGCGTGCGGTGCTCAGACCTAGGACCTGGGCATCTTACAAGCTGGTGACGTGCCATCAGCTTGCAGCACGTAGTCCCAGCTGCCCACCCCACCTCACCTCTCCCTGCCCCTGCCACACAGCCCTGCTTTTGTGTGAGGCAGCCGTGTCCCCGCCCCCAGGAGAGACGCTGTCTGCTCCCTTGCTCAGATCCTCCAGCGGCTAGGGCTGCCCATGTGACCAGTTCTAAACCCTGCAGTTCATACTGAAGTATGCTGGGGGGCTGAGAAGCCTTCTGTTCCCGATGAAAGGGAAGTCACGGTTGGCACTGCTCAACCTCTTCCTGACTTCCTTCCTTGATGCGTGGTTGATGGTTGGAGCTGGGAAGGAAAGCCCAAAGACACCAGCAATGCTGGCCCCCTCCTAACATTGCCTACTATGAAGAAAAACAAGTCCTTTTGTGTTTCAGTCACTCTGAGTGTAGTTTTCTGCTACTGACAGCTGGACACATTCCCAATTCACACAAACATGTTGCCTGAATCTGGCTTTGTCCACCAGAGGACTCACCAAGCACAATAGAAACAACACAGGAAAAATAATTCGCCTCTATGGTCTAAAGAAAAGAATCAGATGCAGACAAAGCTTGAAAATGCTAAACTGTTCATCACCGTGAATTATTTCTATATTCAAATAATTATTTTGAATTGCTATTTGAAATAGTGAAAAACAGAAGATGGCTGAAGTATTCAAGATCAAAAGACAAATTATAACCATCTGATGACATATGATATATCCATTATAATCTACATTTTAGAACTAAAGATAGTAAGAATGCAGAGCAATATAACTTTAATCACGAAGAGTATCCCACACACCCACACACACATGAAAATAATTCACCAAAACATTATCATTAGTATTAACATGAACATCTGTGGATTAAGCAATTGTGGGTGATTTTCTTCTCTATTCTTTTATGTATTTCCCAAATTTTCTGTAATGACCAAGTATTGTTTTTAAAAAATCAGAAAAAACAGGGCACCTGGGTGGCTCGGTCGGTTAAGCGTCTGCCTTCAGCTCAGGTCATGATCCCGGGGTCCTGGGATTGAGCCGCACATAGGGCTCCCTCCTCAGCTCAGAGCCTGCTTCTCTCTCTGCCCCTCCCCTGCTTGTGCTCTTCCTTTCTCTCAAAGAAATAAATGAAATCCTTAAAAGATAAAAAATTAAAAAAAAAAAAAAAAACTACTTGTTTTTAAAAAGCCCCGGAAATGTACTGCAAATTTAGGATTAGATCTCGGTCAGCTGTGGCTGGCGAGCTGGTCCTTTTGGAAGCCAGGAGAGGAGAACTGCTTCTATGGCCATTTACAGAGAACATGTAAAGGATTCTGTGTTACAGAAACCGAGTGCTAGGACTGTTAACAAAATGGTAATGTGATAAGAGAAGCTCGGGGCTCCTGGGTGGCTCAGTGGGTTAAAGCCTCTGCCTTTGGCTCAGGTCATGATCCCAGAGTCCTGGGATCGAGCCCCGCATTGGGCTCTCTGCTTAGCAGGGAGCCTGCTTAAAAAAAAAAAAAAAAAAAAAAGCTCAAGGCTCAGAACAAAGGAGGTCTGGGTGTCATTTTTATAGTATGTACTTTTACGGCCAGCTTTAAAAACTCACGGTTTGCTGTAGCTTTTGTTTTGTTTTGAGACACCTGCTGCTGCTCCTATGACAGCAAACAATTAGGCAGTTTCCAGGCACCTCTGCTTACTCTTATTTTTCTTCCTTTGCCTTAAGGGAGCTGATGCTGGCTTTACCTCCCTCTCAGGGATACAGGGAGGACCAAAGCTGATCATAATGGAATTAGTAATTTATAGCAGCAGCTGTGTAGTCATTATCCAGTAGGTTCTAAGGCCCTGGGGACAGGAGGCAGACCCTTAGTTTGTAGGTGACAAAACTGAGGTTCAAAGAATTGAAGCCACATCCATAGTGTCAGAGCTGGGATTTGAACCCATATTTTTCAATTTTCTCCCCACCATACCCTGCCACAACTTAAATAGAGGACGATGACGCATGTGGCCACGTTGAAAGCCCTACAGCATGGAATAAATGTAAGGTAGTAGATGTGTCTTTAGAATTCTGTGCAATTCTTAAATTTTTATAAAATCAAGCTCAAAGGCAAGTTGTTAATAATAAATGGAAGAATTGTGTGCTTAAAAAATCTCACGAGTCTGACACATAGGAACGGAATTAATAAATGTTAAGGAGCTTCATTGGGCTGAACTCAAGTCAAGGAGAAGAAACTGTAGGGGGAACCAGCTCGGCTCAGAATAGGCGCAATGGTTTAATCAGCCCCCACCCCCACCCCCAAAGTTGCTGGCGCTGAGGGAAGGGAGCCGCGTCACTGTTTTCCAGCACAGGCGTGGTGATCGGCTGCTGGAGATTTCCAGGAGGAATTCCCACACTGAGTGGAACTGAGGCTAGAAAGCTCCCAAGGCCACTTTAATGAAGATTCTGTCATGAGAAGTCCTTTACATTGTTTTCATCACTAATCAGTTCCCTCCCCAGCATTAGGCAAACAAGGGCCATGTGAAGACCAAGCCCCTTTGTCTATCAAAGCATGGCACTGGTACCCACCAGCTCAGAAGCGATGCTCTGTTTGGTCACGGTGCCCACCTCAGGAATGCGAGCCTTCACCTGTGCTTTGATGTAGCACTTTTCTCCTCCAGCGAAACGGATTCCGGTGATGCCCTAGGAGAGAAAAGTTCATCCATCCCGCTATGCATTCATTCGTTCATTCAATGTATTTAACCGCGAGATAGGCCCTGTTCCAGGCACTGGGTATAGGGATGAACAGAACGGACTCCCAGGTGTGGCGGGCTCCTCCTCCTCTGCCTTCCACAAGCCTTCCTTCCCCCGCATCTGGCGCTTAGAACTCCATGCCACTCCTTGTCAAGGTTCTGTCCCAACTCAGTTATAAGCCTCTTGACATTAGTATCTGAATCTTTTTCTTCTTGGTGATCCCACAAAGGTTGTCCAAAGATGTGCACCCAATTCATTAATTCCAGGAATTCAGATTTTGCTAAGTCACAGAGGCAGGGAAATAGCAAAGCTCCCTACACCACCAGGAGCTGACCTTTGTTCCCAGACCTTACCGGAGGACTTGGATGCTTTGTTTCTGTCCCCTGTGAGACACAAGCAGTGTCTCCTGCTTGTCACACTAGGGACCAGCCTCTGGGGCCACATCAGCCGCAGGACTCCAGGCTTGGCTCATGGCTCAGGCCCGATGCTACGGCAGGTGCACGAAGCCTGAGAGCACGTTCTGTCCCAAGGGTGTTTACTTCCACCCTGGTGGAGAACCTGTGGCTTTCATGATGAGTGAGTGGCCAAAAACAGAGGTAAACGCCTACATATTTTATGCCCTAACAACAGACACCCACAGAAATCCAAACATCTCAACTTGTTAATCTTCTGTTCAGTTGAGATGAATGTCAAGAAGATTTAGGACTTGTTCCAGCGTCAATGCTGCAGGGGGTGGGGGAAGAAAAGTACTCAGAAATCTCTCGGGGTTTTGACTCAAGACGCAGCCCTCTTCCACAAAGAACAGAGGACGTTGACAGCCAGTTCTCCTGTATGTATTGAGAGCCAGCAGCCCTAGGGCTGAGGGGCGAAGCACAGAGAAAGAGAGCTTCCTTCCTCCCAAAGCCCCTCGTGCTCCGCCTTGTGGCCTCATGGGACCTGTTCACATATATGACACATGAGTCCTAGCATCACCTCTCACCCAGAGAGAGGGGGTAGCAATATCCTTGCCCTCTCCAAGAGGAGGGACTCCCTGAACCAAAACCACCTGGAGAGATTTTAAAACCATGGATGCCTGGGGGAATCTCTACAGAGATTCCCACTTAACTGGCCTGGGCCAGTGCCCATCAGCAAGCTCCAAGCTTCCAAGCTCCCCACATGGTTAGAAAGTATAGCCAGGGTGACAGAGCACCTGTTCAGGGAGAAAGGAACGTACTCCGCATAACAAAGTTGTTAAATGACTGAAATAGCCTACTATACTCGGAATGTTTTTGTCCCCTCACCCAGATTCCTATGTTGAAACCTCCCCTCAGTGGGATGGATTTGGAGGGAGGGCTGTTGGGAGGTGATGGTGTCCTCGAGGCAGCGCCCTCAAGAATGGGATCAGTGCCCTCCCGAAAGGGCCCCCAGAGAGCTCTCTCACGCCTTCTGCCCTGTGAGGACACAATGAGAAGATGTTCCAACTACGAACCAGCAAGCAGGCCCCCAAGAGATGCTCACCTGCTGGTGTCTTAATCTCGCACTGCCCGGCCTCCAGAACTGTGAGCGATTTCTGGTGTTCAGAAATCCCCCAGGCTCCGGGAGTTTGTTACAGCAGCTTGAATGGGCTAAGGCACAGCCTTCGAATCCAAGTTTCTTCTATACCAGCGGCTCACAAATTGCCCCTGGCATCAAATTCACCCGGAAGACCAGATCAATAAAAACCACATTGGGTCCCACCCCCGGAGTTTCTGACGCAGTAGGTCTGAATGGGGGCCACGCTCCTCTCTTCAGTGCTGCTGCTGTTGGTGGCCCGGGGAACACCTTTGAGAACCACTGCTCCCTGCCCTCTCCTTGAAGGCCTGCTGCTCTTATTCTGCATGTGAATCTAGGGCTCACAGTTAGAAAAACAGAATGTGGTGATTGGGGCGGGGGGGGGGGGGTGACTGCCGCCTTCATTTGATATGTTCCCTCCACCTGCAACCCCCACATTCTCTGAAGGTAAGTTGCAAGGGAGGAAACACCATATCGCCACAACCATATCCCCAAAGGACAGGGTTGAGTCTATTGAAAGATTCGCAGCCCTGAATGTGAATCTAGTACTGAGCTAGTTCTGACAGTCTACACGCTGCAAAGAGAACTGAAACCCCACAGGGATGGGTCCTGCGGGAAGGAGTTCACACATATTAACCAACTTGTCTGGCTACAAATCCATATCAAGCAGCCAGATATATTAAGAGAGTAAACAGAGGGAATGGGAAAGCACAGGAAAGCCAAGCAAACCCCTGTTTCTGCAAACAAACAAGGCCTTAGAAGCTGGTGCTAATGAAGAAATTTGCTAGCAAAGATAATGAGTGCAGAGTCCAATGCTCTAGCATTTTTTTTAAATAAGAGCGATCTCATTTCAGCTGCCCGTTTTTTTCTGTCTAGAATATCTAATGGAATTCTGTGGGTTAAACTAGAAGTTTCCAAGAAGGGGTCCTTCCCCCAAGAGGGCACTTTAGAAATCTTACAGAGAGTTTTTGGTTGTCACAAAGACGGGGTGATGGAGGGCTCTCCTGGCCTCCCGTGGGCAGGGTCCAGGGGGGCCGGATCCCACAGAGCCCAGGGAAGTCCTGCAGAACCGAGCGCCCCGGGGCCTAGCTGGAAAACCTGGTTGGAAGGATCTGTGCCTAGAATCTAACATGCTTTTACATATCGACACAACATGACTTCCGTCACAGTCTCAATGCACGAGGACATTCTGAGGAATGCAATTACCACGAAAACGGACGGAAAATTGTGGTTTGTTCACTGTTTGAGAAAATAACCTGGTATTTAATTTGCCAACACACACTTAAGTCAGTCCGTATTTTCGGCTGTGGCACTGTGAGGGATACCCCCTCTTGGAGCAAGTGCATGATGTCATGATGTTTCTAAGTGCATCAGGCTGAGCGTTTGCATACAGAAGTCCCAGTTATAGTATGAGTTGCTTTTGTCTTATGTTTCTTTGATGTTATAGTTGGGGCCATATTGATTTTTGTAAACTTTTTTTTTTTTTTAGTATAGCTGACAATGTTACCTTAGTGTCAGGCGTGCAAGATAGTGATTCAACAAGTCTTCATGTGGTGTTGTACTTATGAGTGTAGCTGCCATCTGTCACCGTACAACCTATTACATGCACAATATATTCCCTCTGGGGGGCATTTCACCTCTGTGATGTATTCATTCCATAACTGGAAGTCGGTATCTCCCTCTCTCCTTCACCCAGTTTGCCTATCCCCTCATCCCTCTCCCCTTTGGCAACCATCAGTTTGTTCTTTGTATTTATAGGTCTGATTCTGCTTTTTGGGTTTTTGTTGTTGTTGTTGTTTGTTTATTCATTTGTTTTTTAGATTCTACGTGTAAGTGGAATCATACGGTATTTATTTTTCTCTGACTTTTTCACTTAGCATCAATCTGTCTAGGTCCATCTACCTTGCTGCAAATAGCAATATCTCATCTTTTTCATTGCTGAGTAGTATTCCACTATATATATATATATATTTATATATATATTTATATATATATACCATATCTTCTTTATTCATCTATTGATGGACACTTGGGTTGCTTCCATATCTTGGCTATTGTAAAAAATGTTGCAATAAACATAGGGGTGTACATATCTTTTTGAATTAATGTTTTCATATTCTTTAGGTAAATACCTAGTACTAGAATTATTGCACCAAATGGTATTTTCATTTTGAATTTTTTGATGAAGGTTTATATTGATTTTTGAAATCACTAACCTACCTACCTACCAGGTAGGTTATGCTATTTTTTTTTCTTTCCTCTGGCTTTTTAAATTCAAATGTTCAAATATACACAAAGTTAAAAGAATTGGGGAGTGAACACTTGTATATACCCACTAGCTGATTCTATCTTAATTTCTAACCAGGGTTTACATTATATAAATGAGTCATTAGGCCAGAAAGGATTGGCTTAAGCCAACAGCATTTACGCTTCTGAGGGTAAAATGTTTTAGAATGTAACTCATACACTCTGAACAAACCCCTCTTTGTATTCCTTGAGGGTACTGACAAAGACCCTCCTTGACTCACCTTGAGTCAGTCTCCTCTGAGTCCTTTTTTTGATCAGGCCCCAACTGTGGGCTCTGCCTTGGTCAGTTTATTCCAGTTTGAGCAAGAATCCAGCTGACTTGGCCTAGATCTGACCACTCTTGATACCTGATCACCCTGGCTTGCCTTTAGCAACAATCCTGTTGGTTCAGTTTAGTAAAGAACTACTCCATAGCTTAGTAAATTTCTATCCACCAATACCCCTAACCTACTCCTTGGCTATAAACGCTCACTTTTCCTTATGGTATTCAGAGTTGAACACAATCTCTCTCTCCCCTACTGTAAAACCCCACTGTAGTAGCTTCCGTTGAATATGGCCTGCCTTCTCCTTTTTAACAAGTGGCCTGGATAATTTTTTCTCTCACAGTATACAGCCTAGCGCCCTTAGTTCAGGGCTATTCTCTTTCGCGAGGGCTTTGTCCCCCACTGGCTCTACTAAAACCTAGGTGGGGTCCTAGCTTAGCAGGGGAGACTGTTCACTGTTCACAATTTGGAGCCTTTCCTAATTTGGCTCTACTCCTCTGCTCCCCTTCCCCACCTTCCACCACACTGGGCTCCTTAGAACTCAAGAGTGGACCTGTGCATTTGTATTCGGGACTCCTCTCTGGGTCTGGAAAGCCCTGCCCCTACTTCTTTGCTTGTGGAAATCCTCATCATTCTTCAAGACCTGATGCAGCTGTCATCACCTCTGTAAAACCTCAGCTCCAAGTTACCAACAGCTGTCCCCCAACCCCTCACCCCCCACCACTGGTATGTTCCATTCTGTTCACAGCTCTGTCATAGCACATTTCCCAGGTGGGCCTGAAGTCACTTCTGCGTGGCATGTCTGCCTCCTGGTCTAGACTGCAAGGTCCTTGAGGGAGGGACCAAGTGTCACAGCATCCCTTGTGCTTAGCACTGTCCCTTGCACACAGTAGGCCTTGATAAACACCTCTTGAATCTGATGGATGGTGTAAAACATAGGAGAAAGTAATAGTGCAGGTGCCATAGTGGCTGATTCATGTGTTTTCAAAACTCCAGGCTTGTTTAAACCCCTAACAGGTTCCATCCATCAAAAAAATGTCCTACTCACCAGTTCTGACTTAGAGAAATGTGGAAGCTATCAAAGAGAATTGATCAGTTTATAAAATATTTGTGGTCCTGTTGGCCTACGAGAACAAAACACAATCAATACCATTATTAGAACTGAAGGATTATAAAACAGAAATATAGGTTTGGGATTAAAATATTTTAAAAGTGTATTCCTGATTCATGCACATTTGAGAGACATAGATCTTTTCTTATTCATCTGTGTAGCTCCCTTTGTGTATCTTGATCTTATGACACATCGTAGGTATTCAGTTCTGTTCTGGATTGAATGATGTGTGTGGGGGAGCTACATTTTGTCATCTTTCATTGGGCAGTACAAAGAAAAAATGCTTTTACCTTGTCCTGGGTCTAGCAGTAAAAGCCTTTAATACGTCCAGAGAAATTATCTTTGTGTACTGACCAGAACCATTCGCAAAGCTCCGACTAAATGGTCACATCCAGGGCTGCAAAGCCCAGCCCTCCCCCCGACCCCCAGCCAGAGCCCACTCTGAACATAGCCAGTCCTTGTCACAGCAAGGAATACCTAGCATCACCCATCCCCCGGGCTCCAAGGTTAGCATCTGTTTGGTATTCAACGGGACTTGTGAAATGCCTTTTGGCATCAGCAAGGGGAGTTCTTTCATTCAAATGAAAAGCATCTCTAGTTTTTCTCATCAATTGGAGCAAGGCGGGTCGATGAGATGTTCTTAAGCCAATAAACTATCAGAAGAGACATTATTTTCAAGTGCCTTTTTTCATTATCAAGTCTCACCTACTCCATCTACAGATTTAACAGGAGAACACAAACAGTGATGCCTTTTCCTCATCTTTGAACATGAAGAGAATAAAATATTTACGTGGGCCAAGAGGAGAGAGGGCCCCGAGGGCCGCTGTGTTGAGGTCCTACACTGAAGCACGGTCGCAGAGCTTGATGTCTCAAATTGCCTGTAAATTGAACTTAAGAAAACAAACGTGTTTGCCCCTTTCAAAGGAGACTCGAATGTTTTATCTGTGATTGGCCATGGTCAGAAAACATAGGATTATGGTAGGGGAATTTCTCCATGCTAATTTTCTGGATTAAACGGGAAATCTGAAGAATGGAGAGAAGTACGTAAGTGGATCCCACCAGTTGTTGATGAGATTGCCAGGTCATTACAATTTCCCTCCTCTCTGCAGGCTCCCATTTCAGACCTCGGAACATTCTGGGGGTGCTCTGAGCATTTTATTCACTGTGTTACAGAAAGCTGCTCAGAAAAAAATAGCTCTTTCGAGTCCTTCTGCCAAGACTTTTATATAGTTCCAAGTACCTGTTCTTTTCAGTGCCAACGTGTTGTTTTTTCATTTAGAAAATATAAAGGACAAAGAGTGGTCCTTTCTCAGAGAGAATATGCTGCCTAATGTATGTGAATTAGTGGCGCCATGACTGCCATAAAGAACAGTTACCGTTTGGTTGTGTGTGAGAGATGTTGCTTCTGCCTGGATTAGGAGAGCCTTGCAGGCTTGCCTGGTTAAACTCTCTAAATGCATGAAATATACTTACATTCTGGAAATCATTAACTTCAATTGCTTCTTCAGCTCCACTTCCCATTTTAAAGGTCTCCAGGTTGTTCCCAGTATCTATTTCCATTGACCCATCTTGTAATTTCCCATTGATACTCATGGTATAATGGACATTGTAAATCTGGAAGGGAACACAGGAGTCAGTGATGCTTCCTTTTTAGAGCAATTCAGGGCTTATCTTTAGACCTGCAGTATAGGAGGTGGCTTTCACATCTGTTAGAGATATACCGAATCATCATTAATATATGTACATATAAGGGCTTCATCTGTACACCCAATCACTTAATACAATGATTTCTTTTAAAATGCCTTAAAACCGAAAGCTCTGGTAGTCTTGGATACTTATTCAAATAGCGAAGTGATCTGCGATCTTGGCTGCGCCCTACCGGTATCTGCGTAGACGCTCCAGCTTCCGCGCAAGCATGTCCTGCCTGGACGAGTCGAATCAGACCCTGTGGGGATGGGGCTTGGATGTAGATCTTTCTTTTCCTAGATCAGTTCTACTTTGCGGTCAAAGTTGAGAGCCATCGATGGATAAATGGTTAACTGGGCTGTTAACTGAACAAGTCTGCAGTGGCACCTCAATTTGAAAGGTTTTTACAACATCCTCCTGTATAGAGTGAGGAGTACAGGCAGGGCTGGGACACGCCGGATGTAGAGCAGCGCTTGTGGAGATCAAGGTCAATGTGCACATCTGTTTCAGCTCAAAGTGGGAGTTAGTCATTTTAATGACTATGGGACAGGCATATGGTGTTGTAGGGCATATTGTTAGGAGACGTGTGGGGAAGAAGGGAGGGAGACTGGGCATGGGAGAAGAGCAGCGGTCCACGAATCAGAAAAACGAGGGGCTGCACCACTTATCCCTGGGTCTTGTGAGGTGCCTTGGGTGTAAAATGAAGAAGCTGGGCCATATAGATGGTGTTCATTTCTGTCCTTCGAACTTGGAGGCTTCACAGAGATGGCCCAGAGGTGACGGTGGCAGACCAGATGGGACAGTGACGGTCGTCCTTTCTCTCCTGTCCACCTACAGTTTAGCTAGAGCGGCTCTGCTTGCTATCTGTGTTATGTGTTGGATTTCTGAGTAAAATCTTAAGAAAAATAATCCCATGAAATATTTTTTAGTTTACCACTAAATTAGATCACCCAAAGGGCTCTCTTAGTTCAGACATCGTGTAAGTACACTAACAAAATAACTCACACATTGCTCCTGCTCAGTGTGTGGCTACCCTGCTTGAACTTCCTCTGTGTTGTGGGGTAATAGGTGGGTCTTACCTTCCCTCTCTTCCCTCACCTTCCCTCTTTCTTTTTCTGACTTAGAAGCAAATGTATGTGTGCGTATCTCTATATATCTTATGTAACATATAAGATAAAATCTTTAGAGAGGAAGGATCAAGAACTGATAAGAGACACTTGCTACTTAGTGTAAGGTCAGTAGGTCAGAACTGCAAATAGCTGAGATTCAATTCAAGTCTGATTTTCTCCCTCATTATGAAGAAAGACTGCTACATGGACAGACCCTGGAAGAAGTATCTGTTATTACCAGATCATTACTTGCAGAAAACTCATTATCACAAGACCCACAGAGCACAGTTTTATTTTACCAACAGAGATGTAGAAATGGCTTTGCAAAGCAGTCCCCTTCTGGGCAATGGCCTTTATTCCGCAGCACAGAAAATCCTGGCACGCAATTTCAGCCGACCGTCTCTCCAGTGCCCTTCCTTCTGCCCTGCACTGGGATCCCTGTGGTATGCTGTCCCCAACGCTTGCCCGATCACAAGAACCATTTCCAGTGGTTCTGATTTACCAGAATTTGGAGCAGAGCCCACCAGTCTGTTTGCCTCTGCATCTCAAGGGGTCCTCGTGATCAGCCCAGTTTGGGAAACCTGTTTTCTTTGCCTGAGCCAGTGCTTTCTGCAGGTAAGCTTTAGAAAGCGGGCTCTGTTCTGTCCCTGGGCTCTCTGAGCAGCCACCACGCACACGGGCTAAGCATGACCATCAGAGGGAGTATGGCAGACCACATGTGTGTGAGTTCTTGCTGCAACAAGCGTCCCTCACTTGTACAATAAGAAGGTGTGTGTGTGTGTGTGTGTATGTGTATGTGTGTGTGTGTGTTTGAGAAAACATTGCACATAAGCTTTTACTTGTAAGACAATGCAAAATTTCACAAATGAACAATTTCCAAGTTCTTAGCGGGTCTTAAGGAGACAAAATTAGAATACTAGAAGAGTGGTTTGTGGTCCTAATTTTCCTTTCCCCCACTCCCACCCCCTTTGCCCGGAAAGAAGCTCCCTGACCAGGCAGAGGACCTGCATCATTTGTAACGTAGCACAGCTGATCCTACAGAAGGAGCGCACTGTGCTCAGGGGTGGAGGGGTTGGGGGGGTGTCTGTGGCAGGCCTGTGCCCTGGTGAAGTAAATGGTGGGAGGGTCCACAGTCCAAAGCTCTTTCCAAAGTCCTGGGCCCTGAGCTCAGGAGGCTGGGCTGGTGGGGCAGTGGTCACATTGCTGAGCCCACAGAGCCGTTGGCACCTCAGGAGATTCTCTGAATACAAGGGAGTTTATTATTTGCCCCAATTCTGTTCCATACAGTGCTTTTTGCGGCCAGGAATATTTGCTAATGAGTTTCTAATGAAGCCTGGGTTCTATAAGATTCATGACATCATGTTTGGGACACTCTCTAGAAACATCAATCTGAGAATAAAGGTCTCAAGCACTGATCTCATCCCCTCCTCCCACAGAGCAGGGTTGCTGGCTCTCTCTTCTTGGTGGGACTTTCCTCATATTTCAATACTTGTTCCATGTACAGTCACGTGGATGAGACATGGCCTCAATATTTGAGCCCAGGCACTTGTCCCCCAATTGTGAGCACTCTCATGCTTCCTAGTCCCCCAGCTGACTTCCCATAAACCTGTCCTGAGGGGATTTGCCCATATGAAAGGGAGAGGAGGGGAATGACAGCTGGTTCTCCTGTATAAACTAATATAGAGGGGCGCCTGTGTGGCTCAGTGGGTTAAAGCCTCTGCCTTCGGCTCAGGTCGTGATCCCGGAGTCCTGGGATCGAGCCCCACTTCGGGCTCTCTGCTCAGCGGGGAGCCTGCTTCCCCCTCTCTCTCTGCCTGCCTCTCTGCCTACTTGTGATCTCTGTCTGTCAAATAAATAAATAAATAAATAAATAAAATCTTAAAAAAAAAAACCTAATATAGAAAAGCAGAGCGTGGATTCTTCCTGAAGAGTGGGGAAGTCCGTTTAGTGGTGGATGTCTTTTGTCTGATGGAGACTTACCTCTTTGGGTTTATGTTTTGTTTGGGCTATTTATACTTGTGTTCAAGGAAAGCACACCTGAGCATGTGCTCCGCAGAGAGGGTGCCAAATGGACCCTATTTCGTGTTTTGTGATTTGTTTTTCAGACTTAAGTAATCTAGAGCAGCACCAAATATTTTGGGAGTAAAACAAAACAAAACGTGATTTTCTGCATTCTTCTGCCTGTACAGGAAATAGAAACAACGTTGATTGTTGGCAATAAAATGTGATTCACTATTCCTCTGTAGTCTTGGAATTTAATACCGCTCTCTTGAACCAGACTCTTGTGGTGAAGTATGAGATGAAAAGACGGAGCCTCACTTAAGATGATCATTCAGTCTCTCTTTTTAGAAGCTTGTCAGTTAGTTGTATTTGCCTTGAATAATTAAATGCCAAATAGTATTCATTTGAATATACAGCATGTCTAAAATCCCTACCCTCCCCTCAAGAAAGTAAAGCTATTTTTACCTCCAAATGACCTATAGCACTGAGGCTTTGTCATCTAAAAGATAGCATTTACGGTGGAATACCATACAATTTCCCAAGGGATGACAATCTTAACCCTGCTATTAATGGAGAAGGAGATCTTGAAATCATTCTCCTGTTCGGATTTGCTGCTTTCAAACATGAGAATCTGGCCCAACTTCTATATTTAAAATACAAATACATTAAGGCACTTTTCAAATATACACAAAATACTGTGCAGTTCTGATCTTACAAATCGATGCTCGTAAATTTGATATAGTCTCTCAAACAGACTCAGTGCTAAATGGCATGATTATCTACAGTAGGCATTTGAGTTAAAAATACAAATTATGCAGTGACTGCAGAAGATGTGATGTGTAAAATGGTTGAATTGCTTTCAGCACCATTTTCTCTAAGTACTGGAATTCGTTCATGCTTTGAATTTCATGGTGGGAGAGAGGGGTGGGGTGACAAACAGCAGTCACAGATCCTCTGAGGGTAGTGATTAAGAAAAAGCCCTTTGTGTGCATCCTGGAGATGGAATTCTTTTCCATTAGTGGAAATAAGCTTATACCAGGCCTGGCAATGGTCATCAAGATAAA